AAGGGTTGTTTAGGTCTATCATAGATTATCCTGCTTGTCTAAGTGTTTCCATCTTTTAGGATGGTGATGGAAGTCAAATTGCGGCTCAGGTTCGAGGCTAGTTGGAAGACGTGCAAGGTAAATGTCGTCTCTCTATTGTAAATCTCTGTCTGTATAGATTATTCCGTATACCCGAAACTGCCCAACCTAGAGCTCAAGCTCGCTTATGATCCAACAAGACTGCATACTTAGTGAACTCCTCATCACTCATGAGCATATTTAATTCCTCCGGCAAGGTTCCGATCACGAGCTCCACGCCACCATCCTTTCTCATCGGAGAGATGACCAAGAAGCGGAATCGTCTATGGCCACGCTCGATCTGTGGCCGCATCGCTTCCGGGCTACCCCCTTCAAAGAATCCATCACCAAATGAGATGTCGCTTGTCTGAAACAGCATCATGTTGGAGATCATGGCGTTCATGTGCTCGAGACCCATGTTTGCTGTTGCAGGCTTGCTATAGTCTGTCATGGAGCGCAGTAGAGTAAATGCGTCATGGACGAGTGACGGTGTGATTCGTGCAGCTGCCTCTCGGATCACGCGCGCAATCTGTGAGATGTTTGTTTCGGGAGAGCACAGTGTTTCGATAGGCATGACTGGGCGATTCATCACGAGCAAACTGCCCATGTAGGACGACGGCAACAGTGACGAGAAGTAAGGCCGACCATCAATTGGCATTTCGAGAATTGACAGCTCGTCAGGCTGAAACGTCTGGTTCCTGATCTCTTTGGCCACTCTGTATCTAGATCTGATCGATGCACGCCAGAAGAACGCTTGCACAATATCAATCACTGACGTAGTGACACCCCTGGCCTCAGGATTCGCCAAAGCTTCTTGCTTGAGTCCGTGGATGCTCTCACCTGAAAGAAGGAAGACTGTAGTGCTAAGCGATCGTTCGCTTGGAGCAGCGGGCCATACTGAGCTTCCGGGAAACACAGGGGCAGGAGGAAGAGTATTTTGTGTAGCACGAGGATTCTCAGCAGTCATGGTCTCGTCGTGAGACCCTGTCCCATTGCGCACGTCGACACCGATCTCGGGCGTGAATGGAAGAAAGCCCCAAGTGCCAGGATCGACCTCATGAACCGGCTTCGCATATCCTTCCTTCTCCCAAATAATCTCAGGAAGATCATGGTTGAAGCTTTCGGGGTCGAACCAGTCACACGTCGCCGTCTCATCGCCATCAAGATACCGACAGCACTCGGCCCATACTCTGATTGCTACCATGACACCAACGGCATCAAGACAAGTATGAATGAAGTTTGTGGCCAGAATACACCCCCCTTTAACGAAATTGGCTTGCGCAACAAGTATATCAGCTGGCATTGGAGGGAAAGGGGGGCAATCTAGGACAAGCTCATCGCTGAACAAAGATGGCGAGAAGCCCGCCTGACGCATCTCCCCGAACGACGGAAGGACCTGAGAAAGATCTTTGTACACCAGCTGCCTCGGCTTGGAAGAAGCTGGTAATGGGCGAGGAGGAATCGTAATGCGATATTCGCCTTTCTTATACCCAAACTCATGCTCGGACGCAAGCATCATTTTCCCGTCAAGCTCGGGAATGACTTCAAATGCGCGTACAAGTCCGGCTTGTAACTTGGCAAAGGCTTCGTCAAAACCTACGCCTGGCCGAAGAGCGAAGTAAAAGTTGAGACCCATGTAGTGATTGGGGTTGACAGCATCGAACGGGTTCATCTTGGATCCCAGACGTCGCTTGCGATCAGCTACAGCCTTCTTCATATTTCCAGACTCGAAACTTGAGCATGGTGTTTCTGTCGTTTTGCTTGTTTCCGTATCGCTCAATGAGTCCCCCGCAATTTTCTTGGACTTTTCTTCATCCAATATCTTGAGAAGCTGGACAGAAAATTCGTCTATCGTTGGGTGGGCATACAAATGGCGGGGAGCAAGCTTTTCCTCAAGCCCTGTAACAGCACGGATAATTCTAATGACTCGAAAAACGAGAAGAGAGTCCAAGCCGAGGTCAAAGACGTCCTCGTCTGCTGGGAAATCGTCAACCTCTGGCAAAACAGACCGCATAACATGAGAGACAGATTCTCTCACGGTGTCAATCGACGTGGTGTCAATCGAAAATGCGTCAAAATCTTCATCCTCGGCTTCCTCATCTCTAGAGATGTAGAAGCGGTCGATGAAGTCCGCATACAGATCTAGAGTAGCGCGGCGTTTGATGGTCTGCTTGTCTGTCCGGATGAAAGGCTTGTCTATCTCCGAGAAGGCTATATACTCTCTTTGCAGTCGAGTCTTCTGGAAAGTGGAGTTGTTGGCCCTCTCAATAATAGCCCAGATGCTATCGAACAACTCGTTGTTCTTCTCACTATGACCTTTGAGCTCAATCAAAAGACCTGCTTGAGGCTTCCCAGTGCCGATCATAAGGCAACCTTCGACCGAAGGATGCGTCGTGACCAAAGCCTCTGTGTCCAAGGGAGAGATCTTGTAACCGTTGGAAAGGACGACGACATCGTCACTTCTACCACTGAAGGCCCAGAGATTTGGATTTGTCGGGTGTCTGATGTACAGATCCTTGAGATTGACTGAGTCCTGGTCAGGGAATGTATAGAATATCCCCTGGAATAGAGTCCAGTGCTCGTTTCGGTGTACCCAGTGTTCGTATACGCCAGGCTGAACCTCCTTGAACTCGAATCCTGAGTAGGGATGGAAAGCAAACCAATGCCAGTCTTCCCTCGGAACCCAAAGATTACCGATGAAGAGACCTTCCGTTGTGCCTGTGAGGTTAAGTACCCTGACTACTTCATTGACCTTGGAGACAATGACGGGGCTGACGGGGCCTGTAGATGAGGGTCAGTGATTCACGCCCACTTCAATTTGAGATGGGTTAAGTCTACTGACCGCCAGAAGCACAAATGAACTTTGATGACTTGAATTTGGCCAACACTTCTGGGTTCTCGCCTAGTTCGTCCACAAGTGAAGGTACCATACTCCATATGTCGATATGACCAGTGAGTGACTCGATAAGTCCGAGATTGGGTAAGACGCCCGAAGGCCCAAGAATACAATGAAGATTGAACAAGGAAGGCATAAGTATATCCATAATTACACCGGCTCCCTGTCTCCGTGGTTAGCTGGCTCAGGTTGCCCGCGGGAACACTTACATGGCTCATAGGAAAGGAGGAGTAGATCCTATCACCTTCGTTCCAATTGTCCGTCCAAGGGGCCAACCCACCATCACCTTCGGTGGGAGGCAGCAGTCTCACGGCATCCATGGTACCGATCAAGCCGTGCGTCCATAGAATCGGCTTTGGCACGCCAGTAGTTCCCGAAGTGTGCAGTATACAAAATGGCTCGTTGATGGCACTCTCGAAAGCCTTATCAAACACGAATGGCTCCGTTGACTCGGCGTCCAGAAGCTCATCTACACTTGGGAGCTCGAGAACTCTCATATACTTCTCCTGTAAAATCCCTTCCACTAGGGGGAGCATTGCTTGCTCTCGGGGCTTTACCCAGATACTGCAATCTGAAGCATTGAGAACAGCTAACGCACCGGTGACGTTGTTCTTCGGTGAAAGGAAGAGGGCCTGTTTGAAATCATTGAGCATCGTTTGTACGATAATGGGTTCTGGGACAACTTACAGCACAGCCGGCCTTGACAGCACCATAGGTCAGGAGCACATGCCGAATGTCATCTGAGCTTTTGTGAGATCTCCTTATTCAGTTAAAGAAGGTAAGTGTGTACTTACGAGGTCCGATGTAACCCAAAGCTTGGATCTTCGGCTGCTTCTGTGTTACGGCATGCTCCTGTACCGGATCGCCGTTGGGGACTCCATTCATTTCATTGAGATGCTTATGGAGCCACCATGCTGTTTTGTCAACGGCCCGTGCAAAGTCCTGTGCAGTGATATGCTTAAACTTTGGAATACCATCGGAAAGGCTGGCAATGGAGTAGACAATGCGTTCTGGATCCGCCACCGCCAGGCGATCAAGTATCTGGGGAATGAGTCTCCGCCCATACAAGGAATCAGTGTCAACCATTCTGAGCAACAGGTGGGGAATTTCCAAGATTATTGCACAATAGACAGAAACCTTGCGGCGACTTGTGAAGTGTCAACCTTATTTCGTTATTGAATTAACAAAGTGACACGTAACGAATGTGTGAGACCTTGATCCTGGGCGCCAGAAATCTTGGAGCGGCTTTAGATGAGTTTATCATAATAATTCCTAAGCTTTGGTAATTTATTTTATTCACCCTAAAGAGACTCTAAGTACCCGCATTATCTCTAGATGAGTTCAATTTGGCGCGGGACCGGATAAATCAGGCAAAGCATGCATGGTATGATAAGAAACAAACTCATTCTCGCTCACAACAAACTTTCTATTTTTCGATTAACGCCACCACCCAGAAGTTCACATGACATCCTTGCGTAAAATTTCACAAAATCAATAATGGTTGACACGACATTTGAGCACATTGTTTAGCGTCTTGATGCATGTAACTTGCTCAGTCCCCCCTGTCCACGCTTCATCACCCCGGATCGTGAGCATATAATCAGCCTCAAGTGGATACTCAGTGCGCAGTTTCTCACAGCCACTCTGAAATCCCCTGCCAGCGATACGAGACCTTTCTTGTCGAATCACAGACTCAGCACAGTCGATGTTCCTGCAGCTTGTCACTTCACTCGATACCCCGACACCAGAACATCGTCAGATCGGTCGAATCCTTTGGCTGAATTGGTCATCAAGACTTTCTTGTGGTGCCCAGGCTTGACCCTGCACATGTTTGGCTTCATATTTAATATCCCTGGAAACTTGTAGTTGGGTTCAAACGTTAACCGCTTTGCATATTTCCACCACGAATCCAACATATTAACGAAAAGTGGTTCATCTTGAAACCCAGCACGGATGCCGTGCTACCTCGACGCATCTTAGTCTCGAGACATACCCCATCTCCATGCAGATCATACCGTTGTATCCTGCCCTCGCGAACCAACACAGCATGACTGTCGCTTCCAGAATTGTCTCGGATGCTTCCGTCCAGGAACAGTCCGACATTACCAAATCAGGAGCGGTAAGACCCTTTGCAGAGCAGCAAGACGACGCAGATCCATCTGTGCGTGCAGTCTCCTCCAAGATCTTGGATGTCATCTTCGAGTATGCCTTGAACAAATTCAGCGACAGCAAAGAAAGGCTTGAGTCCGGTAGGCCCAAGTTTCTGTCCGTCGTGGGCAAATTCGTGGCTAAGAGGACAAGAGTTGAGATGTGCCTACCAGCATTTCCTTTCAAATCAGCAAACAAAGCCTACAAGGTTTTTGGCATATTGCCCGACAAAGCGGAGGAGATTGCGTTAGATCGGCTCAATACTATGTGCATCCGCATCGGCGAGATCTACCAGCCTGGCGCTCGATGCATTATCATCTCAGATGGCGTTGTCTACAACGACCTATTGAGTATTCCCGATCGTGACACCTGGGCCTATGGGGAGGCACTTCGGCAATTAGCTTCTGATCAAGGCTTCCAGCACATATCATTTTCCAGGATCCGAGACTTGGTCGACCTTCCTCTGCCAGCTGAGATGCATGAGATTGCCTATGTCGCCAATGCGACCAATTTCCGCCGAGCCCTTCTCAACCGCTTCGGCAAAGACGATATCGACATTGACCAAGAGATTGAGAAAGACCCTGACACCAAGATGACTTACCTTGGGTACCGGCGGTTCCTCGAATCTGATCTCAAGCATATCTTTCCAGTCGGCAATGGACGAACAGCAAATACATATCGCAGAGATGTGAGGTATCTTGCGAAGCAGATGTTGATCCGAGGCTATGTAAGTGGCAAAAAATACATCTCCTCACCCGGTCTCTAACTACCTATCCATAGGCCTTCGCCGCTGCTGTCAAGCACGGTTTCCCTAATCACCTCCGTCTGTCTATCCACCAATCTACTGGTGAGAATAAAATTTCTTTGAGCTTGCTCAACACCAGGACGGGCTTCACTACCCCGTGGCACTGTTGTGTTGCCCTGACAGCGACCGGGGAATGGACTAGTGCTCCAAAGGGAGAGTATCTGAAAGACCCAAACATGCAGATTATCTACGAGAATGGTCGACCGAGCTACTTCCAGGAAGTTGCAAATAACAACGAGTCTGGTCAAAAAGCTGGGACGGAGACCCTAGAGGTAAAAGGCCGTGAGGTGCAGAGCAATGCACCGCTTACTGAGCTTCAAGAGCTAGTCTCCTTGTCCCTGACAGAAGCAGAGAGAGAAAGAATAACCGCGCTTGCAAATTTCATGATGTCGGCCGACTTCAAGCAGTACGACAAGATGGCGAAGTCGGGACATACATTTATCGGCAGGGTTCCAGATTGTAAACCAAACGAGCTCAACACAGTGGCATGGCTCAAGGAGCTAATATGTGCCGCGGCTAGAGACACTGAGAGATGTAGCAAGGGCCCCGGTGTGAGTTGTCAAGACATACCAGCAAGCGGTGAATAGTAGCTTTCAAGTACCTGAAGGGTTCTAGTTCATAGGCTAGGTCTAGGCTTTTAAGATAAAAGGGCTCCTCGAGATGGACGATCATGGCCGTTTAAGTAGTAATAGACAGAATCGCCTCAACTCCTCAATAAATAATATCTTCACAAAGCTCAACATTTAGCCAATTGGACTTTCTCTGTGGATTTCTGTTAAATCCTGCCAATATAGTGAGAATGTTTATGCTCCAGTCTTTTTATATTTCACCAAGTATTTCATCGCACTTGGACATGATCGTTACATCGCTACCAACAGTTTCAATTCTTGCATTTAACTACACTTCTCATCTCCAGTGTTCTTCATGACTCTCTGAAGCCAGTTAGCTTTCGTCATGTTGGCAATGTGAATAAGTGGCATCTTGGGATCGTCCATCATATCAAACCCGTGCCAAGCTCCAGGCCAGATGTGAAGTTCGCATGTTGATCCGCCTCGCCACATCTCGGTAGCATAAGCGACGGCGACATCGCGGAAGACTTCACATTCTCCAGCATCGATGTATGCAGCGGGCAAATTCGAAAGATTAGTCTCTCTTGCAGGCGCTTGATACGGTGTAACATGCTCTGATCCTCGTGCATCACCCAGGATAAGATCCCAAATGGCACGAAGCCACGCTGTACTGGCAGGGTTACCGTACTCGAATTGCTGATCAGCCAGGCTCTCGCATCGGTCATCCAAGAGAGGCGAGTAGAGCATCTGAGCTTTGATCGGGATAGCTGGGCGCTTCCTATCACGAGCCATAAGGCACGTAGCAGCTGCAAGGGCGCCTCCTCCAGACACCCCAAACACGACAATGGCAGCTGGGTCAATTCCAAGACTCGAAGCATTCTCAGAAATCCACACAAGCCCCGCATAGCAGTCTTCAGCTGGGCCAGGCGCGCGCGTCTCGGGGGCAAGACGGTGTTCCACGGAGACAACAACGCAATCGATCCCTTTCAGAAGATCAATCACAGACGTGACGGCAGTGAATCTGTCACCACTGACCATCCCGCCGCCGTGAATATGATACAAGACTGGCCTCGGTGCCTTTGATGGGTTCTTGGGAGCGAACACTGACAAGGTAATTACATTATTGTCAGGTCCAGGAACTGAGTGCTCCGTGTGATTCAAGTGCGGGTTGTCACTGAGGACAGTCTCTGCATTGAAGATGAATGAGCCATGAGAGCATTCCTGTTCACCACTCGCGACTCCACGCATCAAGTTTAGGTCAAACTCTTCAGGGAATGAAGCAGAGTCCAACAGTGGTGCCAGGTCATGGTCGTAGGTTGGACGAGGTATCTTGATCCTCGAGTCAAGCTTCGCAGCTTGTGAATATGGGAAGGGGTATGTCATGTCGACCAAAAATGATGAAGTTTCGCAGGAATTGGCACTGCTCTATTCTTATCAGACAAGCTATTAGCACCTCGAGATGAGCTAGCTATTTGCTGAACAAAACTGAAAGGATATCAGAAGATACGTGCAGAGAAAGGTACGTATATGCCTGCTTTGTTCTCCTTCTCGAGCATTCATCTTCCTGAACTCGTATTTTGCGTACGATGGGTCCCTTAGTTCAATTCGTATCTCAAGGTGGAGATTGGCTTTGAATGAGAAGGTTTGAGTCGATTTTGCCTTGTGCATGAAGCTATCGTCGATAAGGCAAGAGCCCATTATCTGTCCCGCCAAGTCGTGGACCCTTGAAAGAGGCTTGAAGGATCGTTCTAGATTCTTTGCGCGCATAAATAAATAACTTACTCAATACAGGGTACACGATCCTCTTCTCATATCTTTCTTGCTCATATGCTCGCAGCAAAAGGAGTGGGAGATTAGGTACTTCGACATCACCACATTGCGTGAATTGAGAGGAAATACATTCAATTCGTACATCATGTGCTTCTCGCCGTTTACCCTGCTGCGATGCTGCGATAGGAGTCATCATCCCGTTGATCACTTATGCAAACTTCCTTCAACATGAAGGAACAGCAATTAACGAAGATACGCCGACTTGGTAAACAACTCCTCCTACCTTCATCCCAACGCTGCTAATCAAGAATGAAGGCAAGCTCGAACAGCTCTCAACAATCGCCCACCATATAGACTTCTTTACAAATACTGGTCTTTCTACACACTACGCACCGACACAGGTCTTGCCTGGCTTCGATCTGGAAGAGACCGTCTACGGCGCCTTATCACAAGTCCTCACCCAGCATCCGGTTTTGTTCGCGATTCCAGTGAGTCCTGAGAAGGAAGAATCGTACTGGGGACGACTAGCCTCAATCGATCTCGAGAAAGTTGTGTCCTTTGTCGACCGAAGTCAACCATGTTTGGCCGGAGATCAAACAGACGACGAGCTTGATTCGCTGCTTGAGCGCCAACACAATACAAACTTCAAATCTGAATATGGTACTCTACCTGTTTGGAGACTGGTAATACTCAAGGACCATGATTTGAGCAAAGGATTCACGGTCTCATTCATCGCCCATCATTCGATGACTGATGGAACTGGCCTTCAGATTTTTCATGATTCGTTCCAGAAAGCTCTTTGTAACATTACAATCAGTTCCACAGAACAAGCAGTTGGTCGGGTTGTATTCTCAAATGATGGAGGAATTGCCCCATCACTAGAGGAGCTTCACCCTCTGCCGATTCCAACAAGCCCACCAGTATCTAATGCTGCGGAGGTGAATGAGTGGAGGGGCGCTCCCATTGCGTTACCGTGCAATACACGTTACAAATCACTCTTGCTTCCATCAAATATCATGGAGCGCTTTGTACAAGACTGCAAGACGCACAGGGTAGCACCAACTGCAGCTCTTCCATCTCTTGTTGCAAGGTTGCTGTACAACAATCTCCCCTTGACAGTAGAGGCACTTACATGCAATCTTCCAGTAAGCTTGCGATCGGACCTACCACCAAAGCTGGTCGAAAGAGTCATGGGGAACTTCATTGATGCCTTCAAAGTCCAGCTTCTTCGCTCCGACCTAGATCAGGCTTCGGATGACTCGAGCACAGGTGCTCTGGGGATCTGGAATCATGCCAAGAAAATTCAGCAGGCTACCAGGAAGTATTTTTCGAATGCCTCGCCTTCTGGAGAGCCATATGCAAATGTCGCTGCGCTCAGGCTTATTCCAGACATCGGCGCAGCTTTGACCGGATCAATCGGCCATCCTCGCGGAGAATCTTTTGAGGTGTCAAACCTCGGGACCTTTCCACAGGCTAAGAACGTCAAGGGAGATGCCAAACCATTATGGCATCGAGGGAAAGTGTTGTTGAGCCGATGTGCATATGCTGGAGGAGCTCCGTTGGTGGTTTGTGTGCTGAACAATGAGGAGTATGTTGGGTTTGGCTTTACATGGCAGGATGGCTCTATTGAGGAGAGCATTGTCCAGGCTGTGATCAATGGCATCAAAACATACTTCAGCACTAACTGGGACGTAGGCATCCAACAACAATAGAGGGGAAAGAATGTTGCCGGCGATCTCAAATGCCGAGATATCGTCATTTCAGGCATCATGCTTGTACGTGGTTAATTGAAGCTGAATCGTGGCTTCGGTGTCAGGCGTCAAAAGCGAATAAGATTTAGTGGCCATAGCGCTAACCCCTCAGAGGCGCATCCCACTGTAACATTCGATCTTGATGCGCCAATGCAGGCGAGTTATGTCACTGACCTTTCAGCCATCCAACCTTTCTTACTCGTACAATACATTCAAGGCTGCCAATCATCGCAACTTAGGAGTGCATCTATTAATTATCATATTATCCAAATATCAAGCTCAGTGATGTTTAGAGAGATTACTCTCTATTCTGTCGTCTTAATAGCCTGGTCCTTATTGACTCCTCTATAGGCCTAAACTCACTCACCTCGGTAGTCTCGGCTACAAAACAGCACCTCCTCATTCTCTTTATCCCACCGGCCATGGCATAATATCATTACAATTGCTTACAATATCAATATGCGCGTACCTGTATGTCTGAATCGGCTATGCAAACCTTATCAGGCCATGCTAAGCCAGGGTCTTGAAGGCGATGCTCGCTGAGAACCTGGCCCGTGTCCAATGGGATCTTTACTCTATTCGGGGCTCCGAAATAAGGTTTGCGGACATGATTCCCTCTTGAGCGTCCTTTTGAATGCGTTCCTGAAACGGCCATTCAAGGGCTGAAACAAAACCTTCGATTTCGGTAATTGAGCTCGGGATTCGGCTGCACAAACAAGCAGGTTTTCCAGTGCCAATGCTTGGAATCATCAATGGCACGTTCTGTTCTGGGATAGATTGTAATGGCACCTTCTGTATCAGTCCTGATCAGGTATTTATTTGTTGAAACTCGGAGGGTATAAGATCGTCTTCGTCCCATCACTTCTCTTACAGGTACAGTTTGATCAGCCAATTTGTCTCCTTAGAAAATACAAACATTCATTCATTGTCACTCATTTTGACCATGCCTAGATTTCAGGCGCTTACCTTGGCAGCTCTGAGCTGTTTGCATGCGACAACTGCATCTGCTTACCCACGTCAAGATGCCAGTGTGCGCACAGAATACGATTATATCATTGTTGGTGCAGGCGCTTCAGGTCTCACTGTCGCCAACCGCCTATCGGAGGATCCTGGTGCGTTCTGCCGTTGCATCGACCCTCCATGACTGCTAACGCCCCGACAGCTGTGACTGTCCTCGTGATTGAAGCTGGTGATTTGTAAGAGATCCAAAGTTTTTGACCAGGAATAAAATACTGACAGGCATGCAGCGATAAAAATGAAGACATCGTGACAATTCCAGGCCTCGCAGGCGGTGCTGTTGGCACAAAGTACGACTGGAATCTGACATATCCCTCTACCACTTCTCTCAATGGACGCAACGTCTCAATTCCCTTGGGCAAAGTCGTTGGAGGCTCAACCAAGCTCAATCGCATGGTCTATGATCGCGGTTCAAAGGCAGATTACGATCGCTGGGCGGAGTTGGGTAACAGCGATTGGCAGTGGGATACACTGCTTCCT